ATTTGCTCATTAATGTATTTTAATATGTTTATAATCATTTTATGGTTATTAGAGAAAGGTTATTGTCTTAGCTACTTTTCTCTCATTGTTGGGATAAATACCTGACACCCAGAGTTAAGGAAGGAGAGGTTTATTTAGCTCACAGTCTGTAGAGGTTTCAGGCCAGAACCAGCTGGCTCCAAGGCAGGGCGGCATGGCAAAGGGGCAACAGTTCAAGGTGGCAGAAGACAGCAAAAGCAGCAAGAGCAAAAAATGGGAGGAGAGCAAGCCTCTTTTCCTCCCTTATATTATAAGGAGGCTACCAACCTCAGGGCTGGTGTAGCACTCATACAGTCTCCATGCCCTCCTCTTATACAGGATGAGGATGTTTCCAAAATGAGGATCCTTGCCTCCTGCTGAGTTGCTCCGTTAAACTTCCAAACTTCTCAAGTTGACACAATGTATCAACTATTCCAGATATCTAAAGTCTAAGCAGGAAAAAGATGATTTCCCTTTGGTTTTATGAGAAAGGATTCAGGATGGTTTGAACTGTGTGGTTCAGGCTGGCCTTGAACTCTCTCTAGCCCAGGCTGGCCTCAAATTCCTGGCAATCCTCCTGCCTCAGCCTCACAAGTCTTGGGATTACAGAGTGCATCTCCACTCCCTGCAATGGTAGAGAAATTTCTTAAATTTTCCGTTTGTAGTTGTTGTCGTCTTGGTTTTTTGGTTGTTTTTTGTTTGTTTGTTTGTTTTTTGTCCTTTTGAGACAGGGTCCCACTCTGCAGTTCAGGCTGGCCTTGAGCTCACTTTGTAGCCCAGGCTGGCCTTGAACGGGAAGTGATCCTCCTACCTCAGCCTCTGGAGTGCTGGGTTACAGGCCTGTTCCACCACGCCCATGTTTCATTTGGTTTCTATGCTCTGCACTCAACCTTGTGATATAATAAAGTGTTTGACGAGAATAGATCTAGTTTCCATGTTGGATGTTACAGACTTCTGCAAGAAAATACCAATCAATCTTTTTTTATTTATTGAAGACATCTAATCAGCTAAACTTGGCTCTAGAAATAAATTTTTAACCAGCAACAGGTGTTGAAAATTTGTCCTATGCCAGGTTTCACCTCACTGGTAAAGAAACTGAGGCACAGAAAAGTTATGAAACTTGCCCTAAATCACACAGCATAAAGTGGCAGGGACCAAATTGGAACCCCAGGAATTCGACCCCAGCGTATGCAACTGTGGGAGGAACATTAACTGAAGTGCTCCATTCTGCACAACTACAAGGAGCAGAAGGTTGTGGCTGTGGCTACAGGCTGAAGTCCCATTTTTACACAAAACCATTGCTGGCCATGCCCTCGGGACCCCCATCCTGGGCTTGTAACCTGGTCAGTACTCTCAGAGCAGGACGTCCCTCAAAGAGGCTCAGGATTACATAGCTCAGTGGCTGCACACATGGGCAGACTCCTGGGTTCTAGCCCCAGTACCAAAAAAGAAAATAACAACAACAAAACCTTCCGGAGCTAGAAAGATGCTTCCCTATCATAGCTACTTCACCTGTCACCAAGCCAGGTTAAGACACTGCCATCTCCCACAGGCTGTCACTAGGCCGTTATTATGGTCAAGCAGAGAGGAAGGCCAAGAAGCCAAGCCACTACGTAGGTGCTGACATTTGAGCAGGGGATGGTGAATCCACCAAGATACAAGGAAGCTACACAGTGAGCTTGTGAACAAACAATCAGTAATACATATAAGTGTGGTGCTTGTACAATGTGAAGGTACCTAACTGTGATGTAGCTATACATATAAAAATGGTTAAAATGATACGTTTTATGTTATGTACTGCATATTTCATCATAAAGAAAAGTATGAAGGAATAATAAAAGATGCTCCCCTTTGTGCCTCTCTGGTAGTGCACCTTTCTTAAGGATGAATCATCACACAGTAATAATAATTGCCCAGATGAGTTTGACATCTTCATTACATTTTTTTCAGTGCTGGGAATGGAACCTAGCAGGTGCTCTACCACTAAATCACAATCCCCAGCCCAACCTCTGCCTGTTTAAAGAACTTTTTCTTCCTAGAGCCTGGTGAGAGTTCATGACCTAAGCATCTGAGCAGTGCAATTTGAGAAGAAGGACACTGAGAAAAAGTCTTGTCAGAAAGCTGGGCACGTGCTATAGAGCCCCAACCCGGAATCAACCCGGAATCTGTTTTCCAGCTTCCTGGAAGCTGGAAAAGGCAGAGGCTGTTGCACCTGGGGCTCAGAGGAGGATGGAGAGGGAGGGGCGGCTGGCCCAGCCACTCTGCACCAAGCTTGCTGCTTTCCAGAAGAAACCTGAGCATGGGCTTCAGACTTCCCTGGTTATTTCAATGCAGGAGCACCTTTTCCAGCAGCCCTAGACATCCCAGCTTAGGGATATAGCTTGAGACCTCTAAGAGAGTTCTAAAACTACTGTGCTGACCTCGGGAGAGCCGGATAACAAATACTGATTGAGTACCTCAGTAGGTGAGGCATTGTGGTAAATACTGCAAGAAACACTCAGGGAAAAGTCCCTGATCTGAAGGTATTCACAGGCTGTCATACTCTTCATTCACCAAGGGAAAGAAGCTGACACTTGGATAATGGTGAAGCAAAGCACACTGCTATTTCCTACAGCCAGTCTGACAACCTCACTGAAAAGGGGCTGTTCCTGGAGGAGCTGAGAGGAAGTGAATGTGGGGGTAGGTTTTTTCCAATCCTCCCACATTAAAATTCATATGCTCTGAAGAAAGGAGGGGACTCTGCTGGTCAGCGCTCACCAGGCCCTGCTCAGGGGAGTCACTAAGGGTGATGACTGCTTCCCTGCCCCCAGCCTTTGCAGACTTGGCCAGAGGAGGAGCCTGGGCTGGAAAAGACAGGGCCACATGCTGTGCATATGAGCAGGCATTCCCCAGGGCACAGTTCCCTGGGGCAAATGTGAGCCTCTATTCTCATCTGTGGACCAACTGACCTGAGCAGTGACCTGGCAGATTGCCCAGATAGCTGAGATAAAAAATAATTAGAAGGACAGTAAAGAGCTCTGAAGAGTATGCATTTCCCAGCATGCCAATGCCCCATAGGACCCAGAAAGAGGTTTCCACAGGGTAGGCACTCTTGCAAAAAAAGGTTTGTTCTCATCTTTTGACCTGCAATTTCAGACCTAAGAACACTGTTTTCAAAGTATTTGCTTGAGGGAGAAGAAGGCAGAGGAGGAAAAAGGGGAGGAAGAGGAAGAGGCAGAGAAGAAAGCAGCCACAGCCCAACTGCTGGAAAATAATAAACGAGAGCATATCTGCTCAACAGAATAAAAAGTTCATGGGCTTCTATGCCATTAACATGATCAATTTCACTCTAAGTGGTGGATGTGGCCCTTTTTGAATAATCAGCCTCATTTCCGCTTCCAGGAGCACCCTGATTTCCATCTGGGTAATCGTGTTCTCACACATATGTAGTGCTGGTAAAATTTCCGTGCCTGCCTCAAACTAGAGACTTAGAAGAGATCCCCAATGAGCCCTTCTGTAACACTTCCTCTCGGCTCTGTCGGCAGCCACAACTGGGCCTGGGTCTTAGGTCAGTTGAGCGGACTCTGTTTGGACTTTGACTTCTGAGCATGGTAAAGCACTGGCAGAAGAAACAATACTCATTTGCTTCAGTCCACAGTGCTGAAATTTTGAGACAAGCAGGCTAGCCAGTGTCTTCTTCTTGGCTGGTTCTTCTGACTTCAGTGCCCATCACATAAAGCAAATAACATGCCTTTTTATTAAAGTTGCCAGAATGGGCTTTTCCTTGCCACCAAAGAAAATTGGTGGATATCTAGAACCTTCCAAGCAATTGTAAGGTATCTAGAATTTTTGATCTACCTGAAATGTAACCAAAAACACTCACACTCCCATTTAGGGAACCTAGTCACTTATGGCACACACCGAAGAAACAAATCAGTCCTCCTTGCCTGGAACTGGCCTGCTTATATTACTATCCTGGCACTTCCTAGTCATTTGCCATGAGGATTTTATTTTCAGTGGGATTCTACTGTAAATAATTGAATGGAAAAGATCTGTAAAAATAAGCTGGGATGGGTTTGCTGAGCCTCCACTGTAAATCTTTCGGCTCCTGTCAGGGTCTCATCAGTAGCACGAGACACAGCTGGAGTGAATACAGTTCCCCCATCACGAGAGATAATCGTGGATAACACACCTCGCTTTCCCTGCTCTTTTCATAAGCACTGTGATGAACACGTAGTTTGAAGAATAGTGCTTGCTGGTGAAATAAAGCTTTCTGGGACATGGTCAGGCAGGGACAGCTCACCTTCCAGTAAAGAGTGGCCAGAGGAGAGAGAACTGATAATTCTTCTCTCTGGGCCTTTACTTCTTTTTGTATTGGGGATTGAACCCAAGGTCTTTAATCCACGATACACTCCCTGCCCATTTTAAATTTTGAGACACGGTCTCAGTAAATTGCTACGATGGCCAGGCTGGGCTCAAACTCCCAATTCTCCTGCCTCTGCCTTCCAGAGTAGTGGATTTACAGGCATGCAACTAGGTTCAGAGTGGCCCATGTAGTAACCTGCAAGTTGAGTGAAATTCCTAGGCCACCAGTCAGCAGAGTGAACAGAAAGCATAGATAATTGTAGGTGAGTGTAAGATGTACAAGAAAATGAAGCACGAGCAAAACAGCTATGAAGTCTGGAGAGCAGTCTTCACTTTATCACTGCAGTTCCTTGTGCTTTATTGCACTGCACAAATCTCAAATTATTAAAATATTTTAGTTTTCTAGTGCTTACTTTTTATACAAAATGGAAGTTTTTTTTGTCTTGTTTTTTTTTTTGGTCTTTTTGAGACAGGGTCTCACTATGCAGTTCAGCCTGGGCTCCAACTTGGAAAGATCCTCCTGCCTCAGCCTCCTGAGTGCTGCAATTACAAGCATGTGCCACCACTCCCAGCTAAAACTTTTTAGGCATACAGCAATCCATTTTAACATTTAAGTCTACATTTACCACATACAATTATTTAGATTTAGGATCATCTTTAATTAACACATAAAATAATAACTGAAAATATATTGTAAAGGAAAAATGACACTCAAAAAAATTAGACATCTTTTAATCTCACAAGTGAAGCAGAAATTACAAGATATTTTTAGAAGGACTTTAAAGAAGTGCTAATTTAAAATCACTAAAAAGTGCTAATTGAGAATAGTGTATAGAAAAACAGTAAGATAAAGAGTAAATGCAAAAATATCAAATAATGTGAGTTGTTCATCTTGTACATTATTCTAATACAGGTATATATATATCAATTTCAATTAATACTTTGTAGGAGTAAAGTCACTTCAGTTACTAAAAGAGTAACTAAAAGACCCTGTGAGACATAAATCAAAAGGCATTTTTTGACTTGAAGTTAGGTCCATAAACATGCAAAAACCTAGTTAATGAGGTAAAGAGGACAGCCGATATGTAAGTCCCTCCCAGAACAGTGCTTACTTTTAATTACTTACTGTTAACTCTAAGCCTCAACTCTTCAAAATTAATTTAATCACCTTTTGTTGACAATACTCTCAACTGCAAGCTGCAAGTATTCCCTTAATAGCTTAAAAGTGTAAGGTTTTGGTGCTATTGAGAGATGCTGACAGAGACAAAACAAGCCTTTATTGCCGGGTGCAGTGAGAGAGGGTTGCAGGACCCTCGGAGCAGGGAGCCAGGGAAGGGGTTTTCATTAGGTTGGACTAGGGGTGGAGTTTACATGGGCACGGGAGGTGTCGTATCTCTAGAGGATTGGGGGTTTGTTGCCACGTACGTGAAAAGGGAGCAAGGGGAGGTTTAGTTTGGGACTAGAAGACGAACATAGAAGTGAGTCTTGGAGGGACAGGCTGTAATTTTGGGATCAACATACTTGATTATTGCCATGATGGCCCTAGGAAAGTTTTATGTGGGCTGAGACCCTCATTCCTGACTTTTTGTTGTTAAGGGACGATGACTCTCTCAAACTGCTTCCTGCTGACAGGGGGCGTCGAGATGGGGGCCGCTGTAGTCTTCGGGGTGACGGGTCAGGCCCATGTAGAAGCTGGTACCCAGAGTCTCGGCCAAGAAGAGTAGCTCTCTGCTGGTGAGGGTTCCCAACCTACAGTAGAGAAAGCTTGAAAAAAATTTACAAAGGCAAGGTGTAGGGGTACACTAAAGGTCTAGAGGTGCCAAATTGGAAGTGAACAGCGGAATATGGGAGAGCACAGTGTAAGGGTCAGGTACCACTGGGTGAATCAGCATCACTGCTTTATTGACAGCTCTGAGATCTTAAACCAAGTGCTAGAAGCCACTGGGCTTGAGTACGGGGTGAACAGGGTTACTGTAAGGTGAATGGGCGTTGTTAAGAAAACCACTGGCTAAGAGGTGGTGGATTATAGGTTTGAGTCCCCGTTGGTGTTTTGCAGCTATTGGATACTGGGGAACACAGGGGAAGATTGAAGGATCTGTGAATCAGCACAGGGGTAGCACTGGTAGCATCGGTGGGAGTGGAGCTGTCCCAAACTATAGGACTGATAAGAGAAGGATGAAGGGGAGGGGTAGAACCAGTGTGCGGTAGTTGAGTCTGAAGAATGAGAGTCGTGGGAAGAGAGAGGGTGAAAGAGAAGTTGAGCTTTTGGAGGAGATCCCTCTGCAGGAGGGGTGTGGGACAAGCTGGAAGGACAAGGAAATTATATGGGAGAAAAAGAGGTTTGGAACCAGCAGGGTTTGGGTACTGTCTGGAGGGGTCGTGTAGGCTGGCCATCAACTCCCATGAGAGAAATCATGGATCGGGTACAATAACCCACAACCTCAGGTAGAACAGTATATATGGACCCGTGTCAACAAGAAAAGAGAGTGTTTCACCTGAGATGTCCAGCAAAAGCGAGACTCCGGGCTCTGAGAAAGATACCTTGATGGGGGCCATGGACCCGGAGCCTCATCAGTCCTCTTCAGCGGCGAGACCGAGCAGGTCAGCTAAGGATGAGTCTGGTGGCGGCAGCTGCGGCGATGAAATCTCGGTAGGGTAAGGAGTTTGATGACTTGCCCGCTCGCCGGCGGACAGGGCAGTCGCACTTCCAGTGACCCTGAAGATCGCAGATGGGACAAGGTCCCGGTGGCGGCCGCGGGTTGGGACAGGCTCGTGCCCAATGTCCTTCCTTGCCGCACTTAAAGCACGGTGCGGGAGGGGCTCGGGTGGCACTGCTTTGTTTTGGCTTAGCTTTCTCAGAGACCCCGAGTGCCGCAGCCAAATGTTGGCATTTAAGCTTGGCAAGTTGTCGTTTATCCCGTTTTCGTTGTTCCTCTCTATTATTGAAGACACGGAAGGCCAGCTTAAGGAGATCTTCCCGAGGGGTCAGAGCGCCAAGCTCTGTCTCTTTTAATACTGTCCGAATGTCAGGGGCAGATTGGAAAATGAAATGGACATTGATGAGGACTATACCCTCATGAGATTGAGGGTCTACATTAGTGTATCTGGTTAGGGTGTCATTAAGGCGGGAGAGGAACTCTGCAGGGTTTTCCTCAGCACGTTGGGTCTGTTCATGGAGTTTACCATAATTAGTTGGCTTTATTTTGTTAAGGCCCTCAATTATGCAACTCTTCATTATATTTATGCGCCACGAGCCATCTTTTCCTTGATAGCTCCAGTGGGGGTCTGTGTCTGGCACCGCCTCGGCCCCTATGGGGTGGTCAGGGTTACTCAGTTGTCTGCGGTCGGCTGCGAATTGTGCCTCTTTCCACAGCTGAGTTTTCAGTTGAGGGGAGAGGGTGTGTAGGATGATGATGCAGAGGTCTTTGTAATGTAAATCATAGGCACTCATCACAAATTGTAATTCTTTAACGTAGTTGTGGGGGTCTTCAGAGAAAGAGCCTAGTTTATGACAGACCTGAGAAAGATCAGAGAGGGTAAAGGGGACCTGTGTGCGAACTGGCCTCCGTGCACCAGCCTGTTGAAGAACAGGAGGGAGGAGTTGGGGCTCAGGAAGTGGCAGCTGACTAGAAGATTGTGGTTGACTGGAAGAAGATGGCAGTTGAGAAGATGGCAGCGAGTGGGTGGAGTTATAGGAGTGACATCGGGTGTGGTGTGCTAGTGACGGAGGGGCTTCAGAGGAGGAAATGGTGGAGGACGGGGGAGGACAGGGAGAAGGTAAGGAGGCAGGAGGCTGATGAGGTTGGGGAGGTTGTTGTGGATTCGGTGGGGGAGGAGTTAAGGCAGAAGGAACACGGTGAAGAGGGGTATCAGATGAGGGATTTTGTGATGTGGAGCCAGCTGGAAGTACCTGGGCCTCCCCACACTCCTGAAGGAGAGAGGGCCGGTTCCTGAGAGCCAAGAAAGCTTGCACGTAAGCTATCTCTGACCATTTGCCCTGGCGGTAGCAGAAGTTCTGTAAGTCACGGAGGGTATTGAAATCGAAAGTACCCTCCTCAGGCCAGCGGCTGCCATTATCAAGCTCGTAATGAGGCCAGGCCATCTGACAGTAAAAAATTAGTTGCTTTCGTTTAATGGTCTCCAGGATACTTAGGGCCTTTAAGTGTCTTAAGAGACACCCAAGTGGAGTATGTTTTGGGGGTTGGGAAGGAGTATTTCCCATAGTGATCAAATTGAAGGTGAGCCAGAGGCAGAAGCCCCTCACTACCCCTAGGAGGATCGTCACTCTCGCTGGAGAGTGATAGAGAAAAGCCCGTGGGCCTCGTTGGTCTTCACCGAGGGGACAGAGGGGCGTCCCAAAGGATGTGAGGGAGTCCTGATGTGACGTCACGACTTCTGGGGAGAGGGATGGACAGGAGCTCCGGGAATGCGGAGCAGCTCACCTGTGAGAGGTGAAGTGGACCGGCCTTGGATGGAGGCTGGCAATGGCAAAGGCAGAGAGCAGAGAAGGAGGAGGTTGCTTGTTGGTGGGGGAGCTCAACTGGGGGAATCCCCCAGGAGCTACACACACTAGCCAATAGGGGTCAGGGCACCAAAACGTAAGTAAGGTTTTGGCGCTATGCAGAGCCACTGATAGAGATAAAACAAGGCTTTATAGCCTGCTTGGCGCAGGAGGGCTGCAGGAGACTGCAGGGACCTCGGAGGAGGCACCTGGGGAACGGGACTGGGCGTGGAGTTTATATGGGCAGGGAGGTGTCCTATCTGGAGAACTGGGGGTTTGTTGGCGCGCGGGCGGGAAAAGGGAGCCCAAGTTTAGTTTGGGACTAGCAGAAGAACACGGTAGTCTTGAAGGGACAGGAAATGGGGCTGGGGAGCCGGACTGCACCCCTCTGCGCCGGGGAAAGCTGGCTCCTTGGAGTTCCGGAACCTCCCGCCTCCCTCGCTGAGACAACAGTGGCCCGTGCAGCTAGCGGCCCCGGGGGAAAGCGGCCTCCGTCCCGCCCCGCCCCGCCCGGGAGAAGCTCCGCGCGGTCCCCGCGCTGCTCTCTCCGCGCCCCGCGGGCTCCGGCCC